AGCATTTGTAACTACTTGGAATCAAGTGCTTTGGCAGTTTAGATTATTCAACGTCTTCTTTTTAAATATCCTATGGAGTCTTCTGCACCAAATCGTGGAAGATTCCTGATTCAATAGCGAGGGACCTACTAGCTCTGGTCCAGATTAGGGTTGGTTTTTGACATCCTGCAGAAAGTAGGTGAAAGGAACCAGCGAAAACGAGAGGAATTCTCGGACCGCCCTCTTTTTAGGGTCCGTCCAGCCGGGCATTGAGCACCCTATTTCTTGAGTATATCTTCCTTCAACTCGAATTTCACATCTCAGACGATGAGACCAAGCAATAAATCACGTTGAACGGTAATGTTCGTTCTTCGTCAATTTTAATTGGATTTCACTTTCAAAATTTCGAAATGAAAGTATCGGTATCTATCATTGGATCTCGTAAAGCAAGTCTTAATCCATTAGTTTTTTCTCCTAAATTTTAATTGTTCATTAATATTCGCTACATTTTGTAAAATATAAGGGTTTTTTTTCTATTTAAAGTGGTATATCTTTTTAGCAAATTTGCTTTGAATATTGAAAAATTATGATTTAAACGAGGTAACTGTACCTTAGAAAAGCTCTTTTCTAACAAAATTCTAGAAAAATGGAAATAATATTTATACTTTAATATTAATTGATAATTAATTCCATGACATTAATTAAATATGTAAATAAATAAAAATGTTACGAGCATATAATTTTACGGATAAGGAAAACGTTTAAATAATATTGATTGGATTTAGCGGTAAAATATTAGATAATTTATATCTTTGATAACTTTATCCTTAATCGGTTGATTCCATAATTATGTTTTCTTGCGATATTTATTATTTATAATAACTTTTACTTTTTTTTTTTAAGTTTACTTTTTATTAATAGTTGGTTTATTTAAATCATCAGTACAGTATGAGTGGCTTCATATTAAAGAAGGAGATTTTCAGAAAGTGGAGAAAAAGTCAATTTTTCCTTTATAAGTTCAATTCAAACGTTTTAGATGATTTTATTTAAGAATGTTCAAGTTGAATCATGGAAAAAAGTTATTATTATTGGTTTAAATTGAAGCTATGTTATAGAAAAATGGCCTTTACTCCTTTTTGACCTTTTTAAAAATTACAGCCGTCCGTCTTTGATATGGGGCCACTCAAATATATTTATTTATTTTTATCAAATAGTTTATATATTATTTGTTTTTATATTAGTGTTTATCGTATCGTTTGATCATCCTTATGGTTTTTCTGTTTACGTTTTGATAGAAAAGCAATGGAACCGAATAGATAGGAAACTAGCACAGAATTATTAGAAATTACTATAAACAATCATAATTTATATTATCTAAAAATACCCATCATTTTTGGAGGGCACTTTATGTCTTTACCATCAACTCTCAAACGTTTCAGAATTAGAATTATTTTGTATCCCTTGGGAACTTGCGGCTGTTTTTTTTTTTTTAACTTTTGACTATAATCTTTGATATCAACATATATTTTAACTTAATCCGGATACCAATTAATTAGGTATTCTAATTAAGGATTACTTCTTAATTCTTATGTAGGATTATGATTAATTAGGATTTCAATGTATAAAATCAATTAATCATATCATCAGGTCCTGCAACTCATCTTGCAAACTAGCCATGTTTTTTTGTAGCTAAGGTTAAAATAGATAAAAACACCAAACATTCTAAGAAAAAAAAACTTTTGTCAATATAAAATAATTATTCATACAAAATATATTTTTTTAAACAAAATTATTATTGGTTGTGTGACGTGTTTCCAATTTAATGTCGTAATCTATTGTTTATTATAAAAATCACTGGGCGTTAAATAGAAAAAGTTATTTGTAATCGATACTATGTTGGTTATATATACTAAAAAACCAAAATGCTATTTTTGCGCTTATATATTATTATCTAAAATTTAAAAGAGTTGTTAAATCTGGTTTTTGTCCAGAAACTGAACGTCTTGGAAATATTATGCACATGACATTTAAGTGCATGCTCATGTACTCCAAAGACATATCTATTACGTCCATATAGATGAATTAAGAGATGTAAGTCAAAATACTACAGTTTGTAGTAAAACATATTTAAAATTTGACCGTGTCCTACGATTCCATATATATTAATTGTTTTGGTTTTATGTTTATTTGGTAATTTGTATAGATATAAGACGCTGTTGTATTTTTGGCTTAGAGGCGTAAGATACTAAATTATTTTGGAAGGACAAAAAAAAATTTTGTTTAGCAAATCTTTAACTAAATATAAGACGTTAAAATAAAACAATTGTGCTGATTAAAATCATAGATTTTTCTTCAGTTTCCAATACTTAATTTTTTACTTACTGTTATTCTAATTCACCCAATTGAATAAAAAATACAAGCATTATTTTTCACAAATAATAATCATTGACCTGGAGGATTTATTTATCTTATTTGTTTAAATTATTGAACTGAATAAAAACTAATTTGTTATTTCTGCAATCTGCAGATTTTGTTTTTTTTTGTTAAAAAATATTTTTTTACTTTTGAGCCTCGTTTTTTCATTACTATGATATACATTGGAATTTCACTTTATGGTAATCCATTTTGATTTCAGAAAAACGTTAAAAAGACGATCAAATCTTTTGGGATTGGGACTTAGACTCCAAAGCTCCTTAACTAATCATTTGGACGACTTGTATATATTATCTGAATCCAAAATATATGGATTCTAAACATATTATATCCTAATCCATTATTATTGGCTTCCTGCTTTTCAGACTGCAGGATCCATTCCTTCAATCGGCTCACCGATTAGGGGCCGGAGACCGACTGCATTATAGGATGGAGGACCCGGGGACCTTGCCAGAAATGTCAGGGCTGAGGCAGGTGGTTGTCCCCTTACGTAACCCCACCTGTAAACAGGACTAGTTCAGCAGCTCTTTCCCTTTCATTCATAGGCAGTCACGTGATCGGGGGGGGGGGAGAGGAGGAGGATGGGAGGAGAGGATCCTATCGTGGAGGAACTGTCAGGCAAGGGAATTCAAAAATTTCTTTAAAAAAAAAATCCCTCCTTGTGCTGAAGATGAAAGATTATGAGATTTTAAGTGGTGCATAGTTAGTATATCTTAAGTAGGACAACTTGATTTATTCTATCTCGAATGGGAATATTTTTCAACAATTATCGATTATTATTTAAATATCATCTTTATTATCTATACCATCTAGGCGAATGTTAAAGGTCTAGGTCAGATCGAATGTAAATAAATCACTTTGATGGGAAAAAGCAAAAATTTTAGGTCATTTTTACTGTTGAAGGAGTAATAATTAATTTGATTCTTGTAATTAACATATTTTTATTGTTTTTTATTCCCTTTACGTAATTAAACTATTGAGAGGCATAAGTATCAAGTTCATATAACAATACTACCAGATCTCTTTTAGACAGAAGCGGATTCAGGATTTAATTTTTTTTTTTTTTTTAGTTATCTATTTTATCATTATTTATAAATAAGGTTACTTAAAAAATAACCTGAAAATACAGAAACAATATTGTATTTATTGATAGACTTTGTATACATTTTTCTTGACATGTGCTTACATTTATTTACATAGAAAACATGTTATGATTGTTTATGTATTCAACTGAGACCACCCACAGAAATAAACATGAAACAATGGAAAAAAAATTCAATTTATAATATAAAATTATTGTGTAATATTGTATTTGTTATGAATGTAATTTTGTTGAGTATTGTTTTTAATGTAAATTCTATCTGGCAATAAAAACTATATGTAAAAGAGATACGGGTGTGTATTATCTAATAAATTTATGATAGATTAACATATAGTTAAGACGTTGTATATCAATATTTACAAGGAAGACAAATACTGTCAAAATTTAACATAGATTTGTTGCATCAAGCTTTATTTATATAACGTAAGCATCCCCATTTAGAGTTTAGGGTTCCAACGACTGTTTTTCAGTAATTTATTTATTTTATAAATTGGATGTAATTTTTGATAAATCATTACTACTCTTCTAAACTTAAATAAAAAATAAATAAATGAGAAAATATTCTGTGATTTTTGCAGTGGGCCCTGACGCTCCGAGTGGTTGCCAATAGTCAATTTAATATCACATCCTACTTTTATTTTTATTACACTTTGTAGATGTTTAATTGAAAATTTATTTAGTGCTAATAAATGATATTCTAATTCAACTGTTTAAAATTATAAACCCTCGATCATACTTTTTAAAAACTGTAGAAAATAAAATATTATAATTAGGGTTAGGAAAATTCGACCAATTGAATCGTAAAAGTCTGTGTGAGTAAAACTCAGAATAGGTAATGTATCACAGGAACAAATATAGTTTTGTTTTTTCCAGTACCTACCCTTTTTAAAAATATAATAAATGCTCTTGTCTTCTTAAAAACATTGAAAGCAATATTAGAAAAAATTGTAGATCATATACAATTCCTTCCTCACATTTTCGGCTATACGAGGTATTGATGCCAGATTTAAAACCGTGAAAATTCCCTACTCCAAAAAATTTTAGAGGTGCAACTTGCGTCATGCAACGCTCATCTGGGTATCCCTCCCATAGTCCTTGGCTTCCTGTGGACTTGTTTCTCAATTGACTGCGAATTGAAGAATAATACCTAGTTCAATTGAAGAATTGTAGTAAAAATACTTCTATTATCGGTTTAGAATAATAATGAGAAAATGATAATTTTTATCAGGAATTTTAAGTTGAATGTATAGTTTAATTTTACAAACAGATATAACGACCGTTAGTACTAATCTGAATTTGAGAAATTATTATTTTAATTCTTTAACTATTATTTAATTCATCTTTGTAACGAGTTGAAAATAATTTTATTTTTATCATGATTTCATTACAAAATCAAAATATTAGTGTATGTTTTTTTTGTAGTAATAATAATAAGACTGCAGGGGGTCAGTATCCGTAAGTGGTACAGAGTGGGAACAGAGTACATCTCATCTTAAAATAGATCTTGGCGGGAGCGACCGCCTGCTATTTCAGTGATGTCCGGGCTGTGGGGTTGGTGGCGTCGGGAGAGGGAAGAGGCACCGGCAAAATGCACCGAACCCGAAACGGAAGAAGATCAAGTCAAAGAAGACGGAGATGGGGAAGAGAAAAGTTCAACGGATACAGAAAGTAGCGAAACAGATTCCGATTCCCAAAAATCTGGGGATGAGACTGTAATAGATAACAGGGAAATCGGCGTAACCGATGACTCACCAATCAGTACCGAAGAGCCCTCAGCAGTATCGGATTACGATGAAGTAAAAGAGATGTCAAACCTTCCCGAACAAGAAATAAAAGTTGAGGCAATAGAGAGTGCGGTGGAGAATGTGTTGGAGGAGCTGGCCGTTGAGGACCACGAGTGGTCTGACGATGAGTGGGACGCGGCTCAGGTACCCACTGTAACGCTGACGCTCAACTTGAAGCCCGAGGAAGGTGTCTGCACCATGGAAGAGAGCGTCACACCTCTTTACGAACCTCCTCCCTGCCTGTACTCCGCGGACGCCAAGCTGGCCCCGGTGTACTCCACCGTCAACAAGGTTGCGCAGAAGGAGGACCAAGTTTCCGCAGATATCCCAATTACCCCTGAACCAGAGGAACAGGTTTACCAAGAGCTACCATTAGAAGAGGAGCGAACACGAACTCCAACTCCTGTTCCGCCTCCTATACCTCCTCCGGACTGGGACGATTTCAAAAAGGACGTCATCTGGAGAATAGGAAAGATAAGGAGGATGAAGAAATGGATCGGGGGAACAAAAGTCAACAACATCCCTAATCGCCTCTCCAAGATGCTTAGCCAGGATTACCTTTGCCACCAGGTAACTACCATATTATGGGTTTCTTTGTTGCAGGTATATCTGTAGGAATTTTAATTGTTCATCGTTAAAAGGGTTGTTATCTTGCAATTACGGATACAGGATGAATTATTTTTTTCAAACGGCAATTATAAAATGATAATATATAAAAGGATGTTTAAGTTGTCCTTTAACGCCCGTTAAAGAAGAAAATAAAGTAACTTTACCATACACGTGGCTATACTTTATAGCTGTACATGCTTGATAATTTAAAAAGAGTACATAATGTGTTTGTTTAATTATTTAGCTCACATCAGATAAATCCGTCAGTATTATCTTGTGTTGCTAAAAAATATTAAGAATAATATAACTTACATACTACTTGTAAATTATCGCTAACTAAAATATTTCTCACCTTTAAATGAATATTGAATATTTTTCTCTAAATTGATAAAAATAAATAATTAGGTTCAAATTATAAAGGTGATTATAATTTTGTAGATACTATTATTATATCATGCTTTCAATTCTTCTCTCGAATACCATTAGAGCTGTGGATAAGTTTCTCTACATGCACGTGTACTGTAATTTTATACATAAATTTTCTATATTTGGAAGTATGGGCATAAAAATAAATCAATACAATAAATAAGAAGTGAGAACAATTTACTTGTCCGGTGGGACGTATTTAAACGGAATGTCTAGATGGACGTCTGATATTTTTACCTATCGCTCTTTCTATTATTTACTCTTTTCATCTCTTCTCTTACTTTCTTAAACAAGTTGATTTTGAATAAATTTACAGGATTCATCCCTTGCAATTCACTTTAATATTCGTCATCTTATTTATTTTTCCCAATCTTATTATAGCACTAGGAATATTTATGATAAAAGTTTTTAACAATTATTCTTATCTTAACTTAATTAATGAAATATCTGTACAACATCTGTAGAAATTTATTAATTAAATATATTAATTACAATGTCATCCATGTAACAACATTAATTGATGATTGTTATAAGAATTTTTTTATAATTTGTCATTTCAAATCATTGAAATTGAATAGCATAATTTTTAATTGTCAAGCTTTTTTTTATGAATAGAAAGCGATACCTAAAAAATATTTTATGAAAATAATTAATAACAATTGCTTCAATGTTACAATATATATATATATATATATATATATATATATATATATATATATATATATATATATATATATATATATATATATATATATATATATATATATATACATAAAATGCACGAAAGAAAAATCGATTCTAGTTATTAACGCAGAAAGACTGACCTTCACGTGTCTAGTTGTTTTGTTGTCGGTTTTCCTATTTATATTATATGTCTAATTAGGCTCAACGTGCGCTTCATATAATTCGCTTCATTATTTATCGAAAGAATTCTCTAATTTTTTTTTCAAAAATATCCTTTGCTTTTGAAAAAAAATATTCATTTTTAAGTTAAATCGCTTTTTTTTTATGTGCGCAGTTTGAATCTTTAAATCAATGTTTAAGCTTACTGATTATCACCTCTACTGTCTTGTTTTTTTTATTCCACTCCGTCTAACCGTCAGATGAAAATGTCTTTACAAGAGTCCCCTTTTTTCCACTAGAACAAAACTCATTCTCGAATGTCACCATTGAAACCATCCAAAAGATTTTTTCCTTGCCTTTGGATCACTCTTGCCAAATGGTCGTAGATAGTAAAAAAATAACGTGTCGGATTGGAGCTTAGACATTGAGTTGTAATAATATGCCATTTGTATTAAATAATCTTTGCATCGATGGAGTAGTGCGAACTAGAGAAAGTTCCTAAACTCAAGAATAAGCTCTTCAATCGCATTGGACAACCATCAGACCGTTTCTAAACTTATCGATGGATATCATGAATGAAATTCAGTGTTCCTTTATTGATCGATTGGATCACTTATAGCTCAGCGTTTATATCAGCTTCTGGAGTAGGTAAATCTCCTGGATTTTACTACTGTGTTGTTATTTCTCAATTTACTTACTTATTCAATATGTAGCTCTACAGCCCGAGGTGGACCTTGGTTTCCCGGACAACATTGCACCTAGTATTGCAAAAAATCGGTCTTGGTCTTGCACTCTGCAAGACCAAGACCAGGACTGGTGAAATAATCGATTTTTAAATAAAAATTACTACAAAATAGTTACTAATACTTGACAATCTGAATTACTATATGTTAATAATTGGTATAACCAATATACTTTGGCATTTAACTCCTCTAATTTTTCATTGGGCTTAGTTAGGTTTCTCCTATCTAACAAATTGCAGTAATATCTCTATACTAATAAGGTAATAAGTAACTGCAAGACTCTTACGCAAGCCCAATAACATGACCAAGACTGAGTTTGCAAGACCAATACTCATCTCGGTCTCGTATTTGGGCAACATTAATTGCACCAGTCCTCCCTGCAAATCACTCTCTTTCTCCAGTTTCTTATACGGAGATTTTTAGGTCTTTTCCCACATCTTGAACCCAATGTCTCCGAGGTCGTCCTCTCCTTTATTTTTTCAAGCAGAATTCTTTTCTGCATTCTTGATTCATCCATCCGTGCAACGTGAACCAACTATTCAATTCTCCATGCTCCTATGAAGCAGACAATGTCTCTAGATCTCATATAGCTCATATAGTTCGCTGTTCTTCCGGATTCTACATTCACCCTCTTTCAACACAGGTCTTTAAACTTTACGGAGAATTTTCCTCTCGAAGAATTTCAAAGCATTGATTGTGGGGTTCAAATGGTCCCAGTTTCCGCAGAACATGTCACTACTGGTCTTACTAACGTTTTATATAACCTTATTTTTGTCGCTCGTTCGTTTCTCAATTTACTTTATTTTTTTATATTCAGTTTACTTTCTACAATATTTAAATTTATTTTTGGTTTGAAATTAAAAAATGCAGAAAGTAGGTATTTCCTTATGTATATTTAAAAATTTTCATATGTTATTCAACTTTCCGGTAGTTTTAAAATTCTGTTGGAATCCATCAGGTCATTTCTAAAGTCAGCATTAATCGTTGTCCATTGCTGCTGAATTAAGTTGATTGAAGGAATCCATCTTTAGAATTATCGTTGAGAAACTTGCCTCTACTATCTGCTGGACTTCTCTATTTTCTATTAACCTCTAAGTTTCCTTCACTAGTAATATTTATTAGTAATAAATTATTACAAAATATTTAATTTTGTTTGCTTTCTTAACTGTTATCCTTTGTTTGGGGTATTTCAACACTCATAAGATTTATCAGAGTCTGCTATTATTTATATGCTTTTTAAAATGATTTTTCTCAATAAGATTTGTATTTTTTTTTTCAGGTGAGTTACTCTCAAATATCTAACATCGAAGAATAATTTTTAGTAAGTCATATTTATTCAATATTTTCCTAATCTAGTAGTTAATTTTATTCATAATCTAGGTATTAAATGAACTATAATAAATATTTAATTTTTAATTAATTTATGAATGTCTTAATGATAGCCAGAGATAATAAAGAAAAAAATCTCGCATATTAAGGCATGCCACAACTATCCATCACTCCTGATTTTTGTATGTTTATATTTTTAATTTCGTTAAACACAATAATTATGCTATTATAATATTTAATTTATTTTTATTTCCTATAAATATGGTGTGAATAAACCCTTTTATCATCATTACTAATGTCCCTAATTGTGACAGAATGTAAAATTACTCAATAAAAAAAAACTAAGGTGTGTGCTTTAAACCACACGATAAACGTGAAAACATGAACAAGATGTGATTAATAACATGAAATTAAAATTTTAAATCATAGTTGATTGCAAAGAGGGTGAACTGCTGAACATTTCCTTCGCGTACAGTATAGAGGTCCAATATTTAGTTTCTGAGATACCTTAATCGATTTCTTCTATAAAACTCATTATTTGGTTTTCGACACTATTTTTTAACTTTTCGCCTCTCTAACACGGTATCGCGTTAAGACACAATTTTGAATAGTAGCCTATTACAGAGAGGATGGGATGCTGCACAATTCTCTCGCCAACATCAAGCAGGTCCAATTTTTAGTTTCTGAGATATTTTCATCCATATCTTCAATAAAACTCGTAATTGTTCGGTTTTCGACACTAGTTTTCTCTTTTTGCCTCACTAACACGGCATCGCGTTAAGATACAATTTTGAATAATAGCTCATTACTAACATGATGAACATTTTCCTCACTAACAATATGCAGGTCCGATTTTTAGTTTTTGAGAGTGTAATCCATATGCAAAAACACTTCAATTAATCGACTCCATCCAACCTTACCAGAGCGTTGCACATTGGTGATCTTACGGCTCAATCTAATTCGCTCTCCACAAAAAAAGTGTAAAACGCGCCTAAAGAAATTTTCACTTCAAAAATTAAAAAAAAAAAATCTAACTACTAATCAATAAAGGGTTTCATTAGAAACTAAAACAAAGAAACAAAAATTGAATCAGATTTATTTTTCTCAAAAGTGATAAAAATTCCTCAGTGTTTAAATTTAAATATCCTTTAATGTTTCTGATTAAAAACTTTTTACCATAGCCTAATTTTGTCAAACAATAATTTCTGTTAAAAGTAGAGGCAATAGTGAAACTTCTGTGATGCGGGCAACAGATTTTCTTACTTTCACTTAGTTATCTTTTTTCTCTCATTCACCCCTTTCTGACACCAGGATATGAAACCGTAATCTTACATTGGAAATTGAATAGCTGTAACTTCGTTAATAGTTGTCCGACATGAACGATTTTTATATAGTTTTGTAGTGAATTTCATTATCTTTCGAAAAACTGTTTTTTTTTCGGATTCAAGAGGGCGTATAGGTCCGTCGAAAACTACATATAATGAAATAAATAAATATGAACATATAAAATAAATTAAAATAGAAAATAGAAGAAGCTGTATCATCACTAATACTGATTCGATTCCGATATTTGTTTTTTTGTTTTGTTGGTAATTTAATTACCAAACTTTTAATTACCTTTCAAAAGCTTTATTATAAATTTTGCCATAGAATATATACTTAGCGAGTTAGGCCCCAAAACATTTTTCTTTTCTTTATAATTTTTTTTCCTGAATTTTCTCTGGAATTTAGTCCATATATGAAAATTGAAAGGACAATTATTAGAACATCATAGGAAGTTTAATTAAAAATATTAAAGCCGTTTCGCGCTACAGTCTATAGAAAAACATTTTTTTTCATTTTTTGCGCAGCAGCTATTGGGAATGGAACATCTAATTTGTATCACAGGCATCAGTAATCAAAACACTACAAAATAAAAAAAGAAGCAACAAAATCGGTTCACTGATTCCCGAGAAAATTTTGGCACAGACGGACTGACCAATGGCTAAAAATGTATTTTTTCAACTCAGGGAACTCTGAAACGTGTAGATCCGTCGAAAACCCGTAGTATAGTTATGAAAGTAATAAAGTACCTCCGATTTTACGAATGTTATATATAATTCGGTTTAACATCTTGTAAATCGGTTTTCTACGTTTCTTTTCGGATGAAAAAATATGTACGCTAAAAGGAACATATATCTGGCGAAAATCAAACTCATTAGTTTGAGAAATCAGGAATTCCTTCGTCGAAAGGTCTGCAGGCTCGTTTAATGAGATCCTGTGTTAATTAAGGTAATGAAATCTCGACCAGAAGTTTAATGTGTTAAGAATTTGTATCACCTATTAATGCCGTTATTTAATTAGCAGTTTATATTCATTTATCTGGTATATCTTAGCCTCATCTACGAAGGTAGGTTTCATTATGAAATGGTTGTTGTTTGTGTAATAGCGCATATTTGTATAATAGATTTACAAAGTATTTCGTAACTTTACTAAATTTCAAATTGTGATCTCCCTCCTCTCCCACACCGTGCGACCCAAAATGCTTGAAAACTTCTCCAAAAAAAAAAAAAAAAAATGTATTATATATATAAACTACAAACACAACGAACTAACCCTGTCTCTCTATGGACAACCCTAAATCACAGAAAGAAACCAACGTTATCACACGAAGAAGAAAACATTTTGCTTTTTAAAGAACTTAAAAAAAAATTTGTATTCATAATTTGAAAGATTTTTATTTCAATGGCGTTTCTATAAACTCGAGATTAGATCCTCCATAGCTCTCAAATTGTATTCTTCTTTCAGTTTCCATTTGAATTGGCACACCTGCAGGAGGTCCATCTATATGTGGTCCATTATACATAAAGCCCTTGGCGTACAGTTAGGCTGCCCACCGTTACGTGGAAGGCTTCCACCCTTTCCTGTGTCGTGATTTCCTGTATCGCTATTATGCCTATTGCGCATGCGTTGCTTCTACGTTTCACAGCACACGGGTTCTTGGCAGTAGTTAATTGTTGATGTGAGTTGAGTGTGTGTTATACTTCTCCAATCTGCACAAGGTTTGAGGTGCTATCTCTTTCAGTAACTGTGAAGGTTAGCCGCGCTAAAAATATTTTTTGATCATAGTTGCAGGATAGGTATTATTGCTTCACCGTTTAAAATATCAAAAAATGAGAATTATTTTAATTGGCTTTATTAAGTTGGTAGCGAATATTCGTATGTTATTCGGGATGGTTTAAAGACTTTTTAGGCTTTAAATGTGCTGTTGATTATTCGAATTTAAGGACAGGTGGATCTACGAAGAGGTGGGGGAGGGGGAGAAGAGGGAGAAAGGGAATTTTGAAGTCCCCTCCCCCCAATTTGGTAAATTATAACTATCTTTTATGAAAAAATATTTAAAAATTATCTCTAAAAGTATTATTGTTCGTGTAATTAAATTTAATAGGACTTCAAGAATCATTTAAACACAATTTCATATAGGTACTTAGTTTCTTTCTTTTTCCTCCAAAGCCCTTCCCCCAAAATTAAATCCGGAATCCGCTTATATATTTAAGTAAAATTCGAAAAATCAATTGGGCAAATATTAGCGAGATTCAGAAATATTCCGAATCAAGTAATTAATTAGCGTGTTTTAATATTTAAAATCTAATTCCGTTGGAAAGTTTTCTTCGAGTAAATAAAACAAAATTACCTATAATGACATGAAAAAAAAAACAGTAATGATTTGACAAAACATAAATCAATTATTAGAGAAGAAATTCATATTTTGAGCATTCTTAATCACCTATGTATTCCGTTTAATGTACGAAAATATATCCTTTTTTTAAACAAGATATAATTATAAGCAGTTTTTAATTAATATACACGTATGCTTCATTATATTTGTATTACGTATATACATTCTTTGTTAGAATATCACACTTAAGAACACTAGCGGATCTAGTATTTAATTTTGGAGGGGGGCTTTAGCCCGAGGATTTTTTTTCATATATGTAACGATAATTAATTTGAAAATAAAAAGAAAGTAACTAACTACCCATAACACATGGTCTCTTATTCTTATTCTTGAAGTCCTATTAAATGTAATTACACAAAGAATGATAGTATAAGAGATAGTTTTTAATATTTTTTTCTATAAAACATGGTTATATTTTACCATTTGGGAGGGGAGGGGAGGGGAGAGGCTTCAGCCCGGAAGCCTCCCCCGTTGATCCGCCTGTGCTTAAGAAAAAAAACATTAGAGTAAAAATATTCTGTGAAAATTAGATTCTTCCTTATTATCTATTGCTGATTTAGTGTAAAATAATGTATTCTATTTAAAAAATACACTTTTATATTAGTAATAATGGTGTAAAACGTAAATGTAGTGATGGTAATTTTAGTTTTAGTTTATATAATGATCTGGGAACTTTACTCAGAAAATATTAATAAATTTGAGATAGTTAATGTCTGATACATGCCTATCATTACTCATCGTATAAATAGATAAATTTAGGTTAAACAGAAATTTTTATTGAGTTTTTAATTTTTTTTTTTTTACCATAAATTTTACTATCACAATTTCCAAGTCAGATTCAGAACTTTCCTGATATTGTTAAACTAAATCGCGACTTGTTAGTTATTATTTTTATTAAAATTTTTGCTTGATTGTTTCTCATGTCTGATTATTACATCATGGTTTAGGATTGTAACATTTAAATATATATATATATATATATATATATATATATATATATATATATATATATATATATATATATATATATATATATATATATATATACTATATGGAGTTATCTAAATCAAACAAAGGTACGCTCCTTGATTTTAACTTCTACAAGTGTTTATTTTACGAGCAATTGCCTTATCAAGAGTAGATAAACAGTATCGACTGCCAATAAGTTCGGTTATAAAATACAGTATGTTTTTATTGTCGGTTATGCTCTGTAGGAATTGAAATTTTTCGGCTATTCAAATAATAAGATAATTTCATGGAAGTTAACT